AGGCCGAGGCAGGAGAATTGCTTGAACCTGGGAAGCGGAGGTTGCAGTGAGCCGAGATTGAGCCATTGCACTCCAGCTTGGCAGACAAGAGCAAAACTCTGTCTCAAAAAAAAAAAAAAAAAAAAAAAAAAAGATTTAACATTAATTTATTTGAAATTTGGACAGCCAATGGTCAATATCAAGCATTCCAATGTTGAGAGCCTAAGAGAGAATCTTGTTCATGTGGGGAGACCTCTGAGACCCTCGGTTGCATTAGCGTGGCGCTACTATCATCTCCAAGCCCATCAGACAGCAAGCAGCCAGTCCAGTGCAGACATCTGAAGCTAGGCAAGGCAGTTATACAGCCTGGGGACTCTTTGTACTTTTCAGTATTCTCCAAGGGAAGCCTAGACAGACTTCACATTTCGTTAAGTACAGCTAGGTTCTGTCCACAGTAAAACAGAACTAGGACAACTGTTTTGGAAACATAGTTGGCACATAATTGTAGCTAATTTAGTTTCTTTCTCTGAAACAGCATGAAAAGAAATTTGTTTTTGTACAAAGATGTTTTTAACTTCTATAGCCCACAGTTTACAACAACAGAGTGTCCCCTTCTCCTTCCCTCTGCTACAAACATAGGTACCTACATAACACGCACACAGTTTTTTTCTAGCCTAACCCACTATCCACCCCTGCTGTTCTCTTTGTGGGGATTTCTTCAAGCATATTTACAACAAAACACTTGCTGAGCCCAACTCCTGCCTCGCTGCTGTATCCTGGTTACAGGAGCCATCAGTTCCCCAAACGCTTTCCTTCACCGATCTGTTGGGAAACCACCTAAGCCTCTGCGAGGAAGAAAAATCATTCAGAACCAATGTTGGCTGTGAGTGCTTGTGTCGTTTTCTTCACTTGTTGACACATGCTTTCATCGAGATTTGGTGGGAATCAAAAGCACACCTTTAAAAGAATCCTGGCCCTTACTTACACTCCTTACAGAAATAAATTCAAAATAGACCAAAGACCTAAATGTGGGCGCTAAAACTATTATAACTTAGAAGAAAATACAGAGGGGCGAAGTTTCATGGTCTTGGATTTGGCAATGATTTTTCGGACAACCTCAAAAGCACAACAACAAAAGAAAAAGTAAAGTAAACTTAATCAAAATTAATAACTTTTGTGCGCGGAAGGACACTGTCAAGAAAGTGAAAAGGCCACCCATGGTGTAGGAGAAAATATTTGCAAATCATGTCTGATAAGGAAGTGATATTCTAAATATATAAAGAACTACAACTTAATAACAAAAAAAGCAAATAAGCTAATTTAAAAATGGACACAAAAGTTGAACAGATACTTCTCCAAAGACGATACACATCATACATCTGCAAAGATATACATTACACATCTGCAAAGACCCTTGAAAAAATAAAAAAACGAGACACACAGATGCCCCATAAGCACGTGAGAAGTTGCTCAACATCATTCATCACTAGGGAAATGCAAATCAAAGCCACCATGATCTACCACTTCACATTCACTGTGATGGCAATTATCAAAAAAACAAGTGCTGGTGAGAATGTGGAGAAACTGGAAAGGCTTGTGCATGGCTGGGGGGGAACGTAAAATGGTGCAGCTCCCATGGAAAAAAGTAGGTGATACTTCAAACATAGAATCATATTAAACAGAAGGACCACATGAGCCAGCAACTTCTGATGCACACAGCAAGAAATGAACCTAAGTGGTAATAATAAATGTTCAGTGAATGAATGCAGGCCTCACATATCCTTTTCCCATAGAGAGATGGGAGGGATTGAGGTTGATAAGTAATAGCAGATTTGGTGACACTGTCTTCTACTTTAGAGACCTGATACTGGATAAAGATTGGGTAGGGAAAGGGGAGGGAATAGGCCTTTATTAGGTTGGTGCAAAAGTAATCGCGGTTTTTGACGTTACATTTAATGGCAAAAACTGCGATTACTTTTGCACCAGTCTAAATATTTTTTGAGTCTCTATAAAAATATTTCTGGTTTTAAATCTTCTTAAATTGTTAAAATACTCGGTTTTTACATGTGCCCTGTGAAATGCACATTGTCATATATGATGCATGGGAATAGTGGGAAGGTAGGTATAATTTGCTGTTTCTGAAACAGCTGAACAATATCAAGACTTTAGAGTGTTTGTTAAATAGTCCATTCTCATTAGCCCAGTGATTCCATTTATAGACATGTATAATCAAATCCCCAAGCAAAGATTTACACTCAAATCTGTTTACTGCAGTGCTATGTATAACACAACACAATGAACATAATAGTACATATTTATATGTAGTGTAATAAACACAACCTTCGATCAACAAATTGTGGATAATAACCACAGCTTAGAATATCTGCTTAATATTCTCAGCTATTTTAACTTTGCTAAATAATAGTCAGTAGGCTGGGCACAGTGGCTCACGCCTGTAATCCCAGCACTTTGGGAGGCCGAGGCATGTGGATCATGAGGTCAGGAGTTCAAGACCAGCCTGGCCAACATGATGAAATCCTGTCTCTACTCAAAATACAAAAAAATTAGCTGGGTGTGGTGGTGGGTGCCTGTAATCCCAGCTACTCAGGAGGCTGAGGCAGAGAATGCTTGAACCCGGGAGGCAGAGGTTGCGGTGAGCTGAGATCGTGCACTCCAGCCTGGGCAACAGAGTGAGACTCTGTCTCAAAAAAAAACACAAAATATAAAGCTATGTGGCAGTGCCCCCCGCATCTGAGGAGGACGTGTTCCAAGACCCCCAGTGGATGCCAGAAACCTCTGATAGTACCAAACTCTATATATACTGTTTTTTTGCTATACATATTTACATACATAATACATACCTATGATTAATTTATAAATTAGGCACAGTAAGAGATTAACAATAATAAAATATAACTGTTATAGCAATACTCTAATAAAAGTTTGTCGGCCGGGCGCGGTGGCTCAAGCCTGTAATCCCAGCACTTTGGGAGGCCGAGGTGGGCGGATCACAAGGTCAAGAGATCGAGACCATCCTGGCCAACATGGTGAAACCACGTCTCTACTAAAAATACAAAAATTAGCTGGGCATGGTAGTGCGTGCCTGTAATCCCAGCTACTCGGGAGGCTGAGGCAGGAGAATTGCTTGAAACCAGAAGGTGGAGGTTGCAGTGAGCCGAGATTGTGCCACTGCACTCCAGCCTAGCGCCTGGTGACAGAGTGAGACTCTGTCTCAAAAAAAAAAAAAAAAAAAAAGTTTGTGAGTGTGGTCTCTCTCTCAAAATATCATATCATACTGGACTCCTCTATTTTTGGAATACAGTTGACCGCAGGTAACTGAAACCGAGGAACGCGAAAGATGGGGCGACGACTGCTGCATATGAAAATTAAACAACCAAGCAAAGTCGGAGTTAATTGACCACGTTAATTGTGGTTATATTTGGATTGTGGGATTACGGGTAGGTTTTGTTACATTTTTCTATAATTTCCAGATTTGCTTCCATTAGTATACTTTTATAAGGTGAAAAAAATTACAATTAAAAAAATTTAGCTCTCTGAGTCCCCGAATTCAATGTACTAAATCCAAAACCCAGCCTGAAGAACATTAAGACAGGGTACCTGTTTTCTCTCACAGGGATTGTTGGGCACATCAGCGTCACCAGCAGCCCCTCCCTGACACGCCAGTATCTACTGCCCCCACCTTCTGGAGCTGTGTGAGCGCTGTTGCTAGGGCAAAGGAGGGCTGGGTCCAAGGTCAGAGAGAGGCTAGTCTTTCTTTTATCTTCCCTTCCTAGCACACATAGGATCATCATCCATAGAATAACCTCACTTGCTAGATCCATAGAAAGATTGGCTCAGCTGGGCGAGGTGGCTCACACCTATAATCCTAGCACTTTGGGAGGCTGAGGCGGGTGGATTGCCTGAGCTCAGGAGTTCAAGACCAGTCTGGGCAACACGGTGAAACCCTGGCTCTACTAAAAAAAAAAAAAAAAAAAAAAAAAAAAAAATCCAGGCATGGCAGCATGTGCCTGTAGTCCCAGCTACTCGCGAGGCTGAGGCAGGAGAATTGCTTGAACCCGGGAAGCAGAGTTTTGCAGTGAGCTGAGATCGCGCCACTGCACTCCGGCCTGGGCACAGAGTGAGACTCCACCTCTAAAGAAAAAGAAAGATCTTGGCTCACTGCAGCCTCTCCCTTCTGGGCTCAGTCTTACTTGGAGAGGATTAAAATGTTGTCGGAGTGCTTTTACATATGTTGTGATTCTTTGAACTGTCATGAATTGGGATGACAGTTATTTTTACCTTATATGACAGGCAAGGAAACAGAAAGTTAGACACAGTGTGAGGATTGATCAAAAACACAAGATACTATCACACCAAATCACAGTCTAGTTTATACCAAGAACCCTTCCTGGTTCAGACAACCAAAATATAGTCTGATTGAAACGGAGCTGACTGGCTGGGTGCTGTGACTCATGTCTGTAATCCCAGCACTTTGGGAGGCTAAGGCTGATGGATCTCCTGAGGCCAGTAGTTTGAGAGCCAGCCTGGCCAACATGGCAAAACCTTCTCTAATAAAAATAGAAAAATTAGCCAACTGTGCTGATGCACTCCTATAATCCCAGCTACTCGGGAGACTGAGTCATGAGAATTGCTTGAACCTGGGAGGTGGAGGCTGCAGTGAGCCAAGATTGTGCCACTGCACTCTAGCCTGGGTAACAAAGTGAGACTCTGTCTTTAAAAAAAAAAGAAACACAGTTGACCTTTTTTGGGGGGGAGGTTAAGAGGAAGATTTATAAGCAACACAACCTTGTCTCTTAAGCCACAAAGACGTAAAGTGTTAAAAGACAAAAAGGTTTATATTGTAGGTTCCAAATGACTTACCATGTTCTATACCACTAATGTTGCCACATGAACACACAACAGGTACACACTGTCTAAGCGGCAGGTATCTTGGCTGATAGGGCAAAAACTTACATTCTTGCTTAAGCAAAAAGGAAAAGGACCAGCGGAGGCATACTCACCAGAACCACCAACTTGATTCGTATGGTCCTTTGTAAGATGCAGAACGAGAGTAGACAGGCAGATTCAGGCAGCTTCCTTGGGATTTCTCTGTTCAACTTTTGGAGCGCCCTTTGAGGCAAATCCTAAGGGTTAAAAAAGAAATGGTTAGAAATATTTTCTATTTCAACACAATTTTCATATGTGCATTGGAAATTGGTGGGCCAGACCCTCTTGTAGTTCTTAAGCATAATGGTTAGAAATTGGGGAGCCGTTTTCTTCAAAAAATGAAATACCATTACTCTAATTATCATGTTTTCAAAAAGTTCAACTACTTACCTGATTCTTAAAGAAACAGAGAACAGTAATAAAAAAATGACCAATTTCTTCCATTTGTGTTTTTCTCTCTGCCCTCTTTAGAGTGTACATGACTTCAAGAAGCACATAACACTAAAGAAGGAATACAGATGTAGCCTATATTTATGCAAGAAGAGGTAATATCCTTTACAGAGATAGTAGTATCTAGCTCATAGCTAATTTACAGGCTTATGCTACGCATCACTAACAGATCTTCACACTCTTTTCTGCAGGGTCCAGAGAGGGTTCTCAAAACCACTGAAGCAAGTACTCCAGCTATCCACTACCAATCAGACTTGACATGAAAGAGACTTACTATTCTGCCCTAAAATATAGAATTAAGCCTTTTTTTTTTTTTAATTTGTGAGATGGAGTTTTTCTCTGTCACCCAGGCTGGAGTGCATGCAGTCTCACGGTCTCAGCTCACTGCAACCTCCGCCTCCCGGGTTCAAGTTATTCTGTCTCAGCCCCTCAAGTAGCTGAGATTACAGGTACCCACCACCACGCCTGTCTAATTTTTGTATTTTCTAGTAGAGCTGGGTTTCACCACGTTGGCCAGGCTGGTCTCAAGCTCCTAGTCTCAAGTGATCCACCCTCCTCAGCCTCCCGAAGTGCTGGGATTACAGGTGTGAGCCACTGTACTTGGCAGAGTCAAGACTCTTTCGAGAATGTTCTTTGCGTGGAGAGGCCCATAAGAAATATGATTTGGGGTTTTAGGATAATCTTTAATAAATAATGATATAGCAAATATTCAAATGAAAAGAATTTAAAATTCAAGATAAAGATATTTCAGATGAGGAATTAAAACATACCTTAAGCACAAAACCTTGATTTTTATTCCAACATGTGGAAATATAATCTGCCTGATTTTCCAAACTATAGACAGCCCTCCTCAAGCCATCTGAAGCTCCAAATCACTTACAAGATTCAATATGGCACAGTGGTTTCAACACCAGACTGGGAACGAGAAGGCTAGTTTTAACTCTACCTCTGTTATTCCCTGTTCATTTCACCTGTCTGAGCCAAAGTTTACTCCCATGGAAAAAAAGTAATATAAAGGAGGCCAGGCACAGTGGCTCATGCCTGTAATCCCAGCAATTTGAGAGGCCAAATTGAACTCAATTTGGATTGTCCTCAAGTGGATCACTTGAGGACAGGAGTTCAAGACCAGCCTGGCCATGGTGAAACCCTGTCACTTCTAAAGATATAAAAAATTAGCCAGGTGTGGTGTAAGGCACCTGTAATCCCAGCCACTCAGGAGGCTGAGGCAGGAGAATCACTTGAACCTGGGAAGCAGAGGCCGCAGTGAGCTGAGATAGTGCCACTGCACTCCAGCCTGGGCAACAGAGCAAGACTCAAAATAAATAAATAAATAAATAAAAATAAATAATAATAATAAAGGAGTTGAATTATCAATAGTTCTTAAAATTTAAAAAAATCATTGTGTTTGTTATTTCTTTGTTTTTTAGTTGTAGCACCCTTTCTTCCACCAAAAATCCAACTAGATGTAAAAACACCACCAATAAAACAGGAGCTGGTTCACGTATGGGTAGGGGATGAAGAAGGGAGGTGCCTCCAGTTCCATCATTCATTGTGTCCCTTTGGAGACACCATAAGACCTTTAAGACTCCATAGAGCACAGTTGGAAACCTGCTGGATTAAATGGTCTTTCATATCAGTTATAGCTCAAAATTATTCTGCCCTTACTATTTTTATATTGGAATGACTGGGTGCTCATTGAGATCTATAACCTTATGGAAATACAAGCAATAACATTTCACCATGACCTAGTTTAAATCTTGTTCAATGATCTCCTGAAAGAAAAAAAGCCACGCCCTCAAATAAATTATAGGGCAATAGCTGTTAAACAATTTACGTCTCAATACACATAATCTTTACTCAACTCTGTGAAAAGATAATTCCCAAAATGCTGCATCCTGGATAAGAACTAATAATCAACATCATAGTGGCTGATAAAGACTATGAAAATCAATGTAAAAGTACAAGAAGGTATGTCTTGAAAATAATTGTACACTGTCAAGACAATAAAATAAAATTTAAAGTCCTGCATCGCTCATCTACTCGCTTAAGTAAATCCAGACAAGTATATTCAACTTTCCTAAGCCTCAGTTTCCACATTTGTAAAGTAGAAATCATTCCTGGCAGGACAGTTGTGGAAAACAGAGAAAATATTTATAAAGCACCAGTCTTGGCATATATTATTTGTAAAGAATTTAGAGTTTTCACTCTATAATGGTAAAATGTCTCCCTTTAAAATGTAATATCAAGGTAATGAGCATGTAAATTCTATGAACTGAAAGCAAATTATTATTATTATTATTATTATTATTATTTTTTAGACGGAGTTTCGCTCGTTACCCAGGCTGGAGTGCAATTGTGCGATCTCGGCTCACCACAACCTCCGCCTCCTGGGTTCAGGCAATTCTCCTGCCTCAGCCTCCTGAGTAGCTGGGATTACAGGCACTCGCCACCATGTCCAGCTAATTTTTAGTATTTTTAGTAGAGACGGGGTTTCACTATGTTGACCAGGATGGTCTCGATCTCTTGACCTCGTGATCCACCCGCCTCGGCCTCCCAAAGTGCTGGGATTACAGGCGTGAGCCACTGCGCCCGGCCTGAAAGCAAATTATTAATGTATAAATGTAAAACAGGATTCACGTAGTTTTGTGTTACATCATAAAAAGGAAAAGAAGAATCACAGATGTGCCTTTCATGGCTATTCACACAGGACATTTCCCCAAAATAAAACACTTAGGGTTAATGTTTGTTTCCAGAAATATCTGACTTTCCAGAATAACTCCCAACACAATCCATTTCATAATTTTTTTTTTTTTTTTTGAGACACAGTCACACTCCATCACTCAGGCTGGAGTGCAATGGCGTGATCTCAGCTCACTGCAACCTCTGCTTCCTGGGTTCAAGCGATTCTCCTGCCTCAGCCTCCTGAGTAGCTGGAATTATAGGTGCGCACACACCATGCCTGGCTAATTTTTGTATTTTTAGTAGAGACGGGGTTTCACCATGTTGGCCAAGCTGGTCTCCAACTTCCAACCTCAAGTGATCTGCCCGCCTTGGCCTCCCAAAGTGCTGGGATTACAGTCAGGAGCGACCATGCCCAGCCAGATCCTTTCTTAAGATAAACCAATTGCCCTCACCCAAGGATGCTGGTACTTGGGGGCCTAAAGTTGCCAGGAGACCACCATGTTGAGGGTCAAATAACTGGGGTACAGCTCTTGCTTTACCAACCTGCACAGTTTGACCATGGGCATGCTATGTAACTTTCTGAGCCTCAGGTTGTCACCCACATACTGAAAGATCACCATTACAAGGATTACTCAAGACATGACATTTGAAAGTATCTCATAAACTAACCATTAGCTCCTGCCTAGACTCCTGTATTAGACTCCCAGCTGGCTTCTCCCTTTCCACTCAGGTCTGCTACAATCAATCTAGGTCTCCTTGCAGGTAAAGGGCCGTTTTAAAATACAAGCACTTTGACACGGTGGCTCACGCCAGTAATCCCAGCACTTTGGGAGGTTGAGATGGACAGATTGCCTGAGGTCAGGAGCTCGAGTTCAGCCTGGCTAACCTGGTAAAACCCTATCTCTACCAAAAATACAAAATTAGCAGGGTGTGGTGACCCACATCTGTAATCCCAGCTACTCAGGAGGCTGAGACAGAATTGCTTGAATCGAGGAGGTGGAGGTTGCAGGAAGCCAAGATTGTGGCAGGCATTCCAGCCTGGGTGATGAGCAAAATTCTGTCTCAAAATAAATAAATAAAGTATAATGCAATATGTATAATATATAATATTTATATGTATTATGTATATTTATATGTATTACATATTATATAATAGATTATATTTTAATAAAATATATAAATAATATATAATTGTATGTTATGTTATATAAAATTATAACATCTATGTATTATATATCATATATTCTATTTATATTTTTATTTATATATGTATTATATACACACACACAATTTGGTTTTATCACCCTTCTGCTTAAACCCCTACACTCTCCTTTCGTTGCCCGTAGACTAAGTGTGTATCCTTGGTAAGGTTCATAAGGCCTGTAAAGAGAGTCCAGGTCCTTCTCCAGCCTCATCTTGGGCCACTTTCCCCCTTACACATGCTGTTCCAATGCTTCAGCCCTCACCAATTCCCCTGTCTAGCCAGCTTGCACTCATCCCAAACTTCATTCCTTCTAGGAAGCCATTCCTGCAGCCCCCAGGGATATGTTCCAACATCATATAATCCTTCATACAGCACTAGGTTGAATCATATGAAATTGCTATTTTGTAGGACTGTTGGCAATTTTCTTTGGTTTAGTCTTATAGTAACTGCTATAATGCTGGTCATCTTGAGTCAGTTTTAAACTCTACCAGGGAAGAATCAAGACCTTACTCATAACTAGAATCCTAGAGTTCCACCCCTAATCCAAGCCAACAGTAGGCACTTAATTGTTTAATTAGTCTGAGGTGTTACTACCTTTTTCATGCCAAGTATATAATTTTTATATTTTCATTAGTAGTTGAAAATCATGATTTTCACTGGGCACAATGGCTCATACCTGTAATCTCAGCACTTTGAAAGGCCAAGGTGGGTGGATCACCTGAGGTCGGGAGTTCAAGACCAGCCTGACCAACACGGTGAAACCCCATCTCTACTAAATACAAGAAATTAGCCGGGCGTTGTGGTGCATACCTGTAATCCCAGCTAAGGCAGGAGAATTGCTTGAACCCAGGAGGTGGAGGT